AGAGTGTCATAGCGAAATATTTTCTATATTTTGTTTCCGCTTAAATATTATCGTTCTATGTACCTACTTTCATTCTGTTTAAATATGATCTTTCTACTCCTAAGATACACGTGCGCAGAAAGTAGGTGAATTAAAAAAGTTATATGGCACATTACACACAAGTTGCTCATCTAAGTATGGAGAACATCAGTAAGATTGCATTCTTCAACAAACTTAGTCATATTTTTTTTTAAATAAAAGTTTGATCGGTGGTCATCGTTCTTCGTTCTTCGTTCTTTTCTAACTTTTGACATGGAATACTTCAGTATAACTTACCTTCGCAAATTAAGTTTCTAAAGTTTGTCTCTCTCTCTCTCTCTCTCTCTCTCTCTCTCTCTCTCAGTAAATTCGGTTAAGATCAAATCTTGAAATAATCAAAAATCAGGATTTCTTTCGCTAATTTTCGATATTAAATCACTCCGCAATTATTTTCATTTTCGTTATCGTTATGATTATTACTAACTTTACAGAATGTTTAAGAGATATTAACAGAATAGACAACACAGAACTTGACACGATCTCGTTAACTCAAAACTTCTACAGTTACAATGATAATTTAAATTCGGTTGGTTAGAGCGCTTCTTCGAGACTACTGAAGACATATAGTGGCGACATCTATTGTTACGAAGGTAAGATAATTGGAAACTGCCAAATGTCGTCTGCTAGTATCATATTGCACAAAAACAATCCGCAAGTGAGCTCGTGTACTCTGTATTACTGTTAACAAGCAGATTATTTGAAATTATCAAGAGAAATAGTAATGTCAGGAAAAGGTAAGATCGTTAATCGTTGTACTACATCACACATACATCTTATTTTATATCATGTTACGTCATCAGTTTGTTATAAACAATATCAATTGTGTTCATCAGCTACATGACAACTGTCATAAACTTAGCAGTAATGATAGACGCAATCCACTTTTCAAAAGCTTAAGAAATGGATTTTAAGATTGAGAAATCTAAATTTAAATTAATTTCTTCTCTCTTGATTTTCTATGAGAAAATAGGTTATATTATTGTTGCAACAAATCTTGTAATTTTCTTACATTATAATCTGTATCCCGAAATTAGAAACATATGTTTCCATGTATTTCAATTCATTCCAATGTTTAGCATTATTTCATTAAAATTGAATATTAATTTGGAGAAAAGAATAAATTTTCTATACTTGTTAAGTATTTGGTAGAGTTCAAGCTGTTGTTAAAATTTGAAATGTAGATATAGTATAAAGGTTTTTTTTTATTATACAAATCTTGTTTATGAATAGTATTTTAATTTGATTAAAGCTGCAAGACTTCCAAAAGATGTTGATATATATTGTTTTATTGTTATATATAGTAGCCAAACAAATATCTATGTTAGCATTTCAATAATATTGTATTAAAAACTCAATTTCCTGATTAATTTTATGAAAAGTATTTGTCTTTTTTATAATACATAGTAACACTTATATCAGTAATTATATATCAGTGCTTCATAATTTTGAGACTTGGTTTTTCTTTAGTATTTGTTGCAACGCGAAATTTCTTTGTACATTTACAACTATATGTAATTCCCTAAATATTCTGCAACTTTATCATCGACTACAAAATTTTGTGGTTTGCAGGAGGGAGGAGACATCGCGGACATGATAAAAACAAAATCAATCTCGGCGACAAGGGCAAGGAGGTGGTGGAGAACATAGATGATAACAGTATCGTAATACAACAATTTCGCGGTTATGCGGCCGAGTTGGATGCCAAGCATGACCGTTACGAGAGGGTCTTTAAGATCAATCGAGACATAGGCATTGAGAGCAAGAGAATAATCTTTCTGCTACACACTATTGACAAAGAGAGCAAACGAAATGTTGTGTTAAAGGCGGCTAAGTCAAGACTAGATAATATGGCTCAGACACTATTCAGAGATATTGCGGATGAGTTGAATGGTCAAGACACTTATCAGTTCCACAGAGCCTACCGCGCTGGTCTGGAAGAATATGTAGAAGCACTCACATTCCATGAATACTTGCAGAATGGTGGAATGCATGACTGTATGGAACTCGAAAGAGCATTGACATATCACACGACTCCAGCCGATTCGACGGAACAGATTATCACCAGAAAAGTCATGGTCACGCCGACGGATTACATCCTGGGAATAGCTGATTTAACTGGAGAATTGATGCGGAAGTGTATCAATAACTTGGCGATAGGCGATATAAGTAGTTGTTATCAGACGTGTAACTTTGTCAGAGACATATACATTGCTTTCCTCGGCTATACGAGCGTAGCATTTAGCAATGAAGTGAACAAAAAAATCATCACGCTCAAGCAAAGCCTAACTAAAATGGAGAATGCATGTTATACTATCAAAGTACGAGGATCCGAAATTCCGAAACATATGTTGGCCGATGTGGCTATTGCGGCTACTGAGGAATACACCACTGAGGACGATGAAGGATATCAGGCGTTCTAATATACGAAAACAATATTTAAATTCATATTATTGTTAATTATTATGGACTTATCAATCTGATGCGAGATAGAAAATAATTAATTCATAATATATATTTAATTGTGATATAATTATAAAAATTAACTGGTAAAATCACAATGACTACAAAATTGTTGCATATTCAGATAAAAAATTTACTGTATCTCAAATTGCATCAGATTAATATAATCATATATTTCCCGACGCGTGAAATGTAAAAATACACAACGTCGATTTGATATATTATAACATTTTTATACTCTTCTTTGTGTTAACAAATAGATGCAGGTATAATATTTCTCTCATCTTTCTCAATCCGAGTATAAAAATAAATATTTCATAATAAAATATCTGTATTACCAATAGAAATATCTATAATTTGGACGCTCTAAAAAAATATGACGTAGAAATCGACGACGATAATATGAGAAGGCCGGTTAATATTTAACGTCAGCCCGTTGTGCCATCTTCCCACTCGCTTGTGCTTTCATCCAAGTCGTCCGAACTTCCTGTATACACAGACGGTTCGTAATCAGATTCGTCGACAGATTCTTCTGCAGACGAGTGATCTGTTTCAGACGTGGTATTGGTCACCGAGTGCATTGGAGTAGCGGCTCTTCGACGATGACGTGGGACGCTTGTATGCTTGAATTGCATCTTGTGCTGAGGATTTTTACGATAACACTTTTTACCGTATGGACACTCCTCCCGATCATCTATCTCGTCGTAATCGGAATCGGCCGGGTGGCTGTAATTGTTTTTATGATTGAGATTTTTCCTGCGAACAAATTTATTAAAAATGTTTTGTATTTTTGACATCCAAACTATATTGTGCTTTGGGAAAATTATTTTGATAAGAGGGGATTATGTATTGTTTCACTTACCGATAACATCGAGCACCATATATACATTTTTCTCTGACAACTCTAACAGGATTTTGTGCATTTGCTTGGTCCTGATGCAAAGTAACAGGCGAACGAGCATTGTTCTGTGTTGGTAAAGCTTGAATCTCAGTTTGATCACTGAAATGGGCATCGCAATCCCATTTAATTTTCTTTCCTGTTTCAACATTTATCATAGCTTCGCTTGTTGAGTTGATGCTTTTTGTTTTCTGTTTCTTATCATTCTGTTGCCTGACACAAGGTTCAATTATGTCTTGAGAGTCTGCCGACATTTTAGAACATGTTGCGAGCATACTATTTTCCTCTAGAGAGCTGAAATCCGTATATGCAAATGGTAAATAATTGTGTTTTTGTTATCAAATTGATTTTGAATTTTGAAATAACACCTCGCAGAATAGGTTTCCTGCAAGACTGGAGCAGTGTCATCATTGGGCTCGCTATTTTCATTAACAGAAGAATTCTGATGTTCATTTAATGGATCTTTATCATTAAGCATATCATTCAAAATTTCACTGGGAGATACAATAACTTCCACATTGGATGACAAGCATGCTTTCTTACCGTCCACATCATTACTCAAATTTTCATCAGCCTGAAATGTAGAGTGCTCTAATATTTTGCAAAATTCCTTCCAAATATCAACAATAATTATTATACTTTTCTTTTTAATATCTGATTGTTTCTTTCCATCGTGTCTGGCACTGAGATGACCTTAAACCAACATTTATCAGGCAGCAGAGAGCAGACATCACCTGCTTTTATCGGCACGCTGGTTCCCAATTTAAGAAATTGCCATCGTGCGCATCCAGCTTGTTTCATGTAACATGGCACCACCTAATACTGAAAATGGTTTCTATAGAATACTGAGATGGCACTAACTCGATATTGCTCAGCGATATTATATGCTTGAAAACAAAAAAAATAAGTTTGTACTAAACATCATATAAACATCATATGAAAGTTATTATATTATAAATTATTAAATCATATATTTTTATATTGCTTATTATTAAATTAATGTAGAGACTAATGATGGAAATTATTATTAAAATATCAATAAATCATGGATGAGAGAGAGACACACGAAACTATAGACCTTACCGGACTAATCGTCATCTCATCATTGGGTGACAGATTGATGGTTACTGCATGCTTGAGCACTTGGCCATCGTTGCACTGCGATAACGACAGGAATTTGTGAATTTCACGAGAGATACTATTATGATATAGAGATTTAATCCTTCGGTAAATAAACGAATTTACGATGATGTATATCATCAAGGATCATCAGTAGAAAAGTTTTATTAATATATACTCCAGTGGTCCTTTATTCGCGTTTTGCTAATTAAAAATTCTGCATTTTCCTAATAATATATTTTTCCCATTTGTGTGCAATAATCGATTGATAACAATGCTTAGAAATATATATCTATATATATGTTCGAATACTGTAATACAAATCGATGTATTGTAAATTTAATTATGATACAATCTTAGTGCATTCCAAACATTAATTGCGCCGCGGGATAGTCAAATACAGTCATAGATGAAACAGTATTGAAGATCCGTATCAAGATGGACTTGACTAGAGATCCTTAACCAGAGATCGGCCAACCCATTAACGATCTCTGATTGGCTCCGTCGCCGCGAGTAAAACCGGAAGTGTGAGAGAGAAAGATATATATATAAGTGAGAGAGAAAGATATATAACTAACCTAACCGACCATCTGTCCGTCAAAAGCATAAATTATATTTATAATAAATACATAATGTATAATATAAAATAACGTAATCATAATAATAATAATGTAGTAATAATATAGCAATAATAATAATATAACCTATAATAGTAATTATAACAATATATTTTTTAATAGTCAATCCATATTATTACTTAATATTAACATAGGAAAACTGATGAGATATATCTGTTTGTAATCTTTTTTAATACGTGTTTTAATATTCATTACGTTAACTTCAAACGAAAAATATATATCGTATTCTTGTATTTATTCAACAATCAAAATAAACCGCCATCAAAAACGTCATATCCGGTTTTACTCACGACGGCACGTTGGCCGATCTCTGGTTAAGGATCTCTAGACTTGACGGGCCCGGCCACGATAATGGCATAATTCATAGAAAACAATATATACATGTTGGATGGATCGCTATCTTTGTCAGGGATTCGCTGATTGATTGATATTATTGTCAAAAACATTGATTTTATATTTATTTTACGAGTTTAAAGAAAAATTAATAATTCACAAGTAAACCTTGCTAAATTCGACCCAACTTAGAAATGCAGGAAAAATTTTGGAAATTTATTATATTTTAGCTTAAGGACCAGGTGATAAAGTTCAAAGAGGATCACGTAAAGTTTAATCATCAATTGCTTATTATTATGTATATATAATTATATAATCGATTAAATTATTATAAAAGATTCTCGATATTGCATTATAAAAAGTTTCCCATTGGCGAATTCATTTATACAATATACTGATATTATATGCATTTATTGCACGATGTCTTTATAAATTGACGAATATCTGATGTATAGGAATGATATAACTCACTCCTGTTGCAGCGCCTCGGCCGATGATGTTGTTGCCAATCTGCAAATTCGCCTTTTGCACTAAGTCGTTGTCTACCCGCACTATCTGTAGCTTCTTCATGATGAATTTTTCGATAGATTAACGCGGAAACTATCGGACATTTCGAAACTATCACCAGAAAAATTTCTATTGTGCAATCTATATAAAAAAAAGACTGCTGCAGATCTTTGACAGATCAATATGCGCATTTCGGACGTAATTGACTGGGGAATTATAGAATTATGAATAACTATTACCTAAATATATTATTTGTTTGTTTGAAAATAAATTGGAATATATTACAGTATTTAATTTTAATATGCAAAACTTTTTCTCTTTTTTCATAGAAACAAATTTTTATCAATTTTCTCCTTTTCAATGTCAGATTTTAACAATAGATCCAAATTCAATGAGAAATAAAAGAAAAATATGTAGTATAATCATCGTCAATCTCGAATTTTTAAGAAAATTTTATAAATAAGAGAAAATTTTCTAGGAAGAGGATAAATAACCGAATGTAAAGTAAAAAACACGCAAGCTTTAACAATGAAATGTCTTTTTCATTTACAATTACAAAGAATGTACACGCTTATAAACAAACAAAGAGAAATGCGCCGAGAAGTACAGTACAGATCTGACGCGATGCCATAAAGCTCTTTGCCGTGGAAAGGTCTCATAAAAAACTGCCAGAGATGCTAGACTCGGTTACTTATCGATGAGTGAGGATGTATATAATCAGCTGGACCAAAAGTCGCCACTATTTATATATATATATATATATATGTATATCCGAATTAAGCGCGCTCTCGCAATCTCAATCGAGAGACGCGCTGTCTTCTTCCTTTTTACATTACGCATCTACCGCTCTTACGCGGAATTGCAGATAATCGATTATGCGTCAACCGGTTATGCAATATGTAAGTCGTTTGTACATAATTCGTTCATATACCTTGAAACTCATCTAGACCGATCGAAAAATCGTTTCGCAGGCGTGAAAGCCGAAGGAAGTGTCGTATGACACTAAAATATAGGAACACCTGTCCTTCTACTTCCAAACTGCAGAAAACCACTGGTCGATCCGAGTTCAAACTAGTAAATCAAAGAGGCATTTTTTCATTGCTCAAAGTGCTCCTAACAGAAGACATGTAATTTGCATATATATAAGAGGACATTGATTTTAATACGCTATGCAGAATTCTTTCTTTTTCGCAAAAGCACAATTAAAAAAAAAACGTATTTTCGATATGTACGAATGAAGAACAGTGATATAGATATATTTTAATATTTTGATAGTAGATTATTTTCCAGGATATCGTTATAAAAAGGAAAAACCGCATTATTATATTCTTCTAAAACGATCGTTTTGCATGCAAAATTTACCACCTAATAATGAATTACATATCTTCTGTTACAGCAGTTTGAGAGACGCGTATTCATTATTTAATTATTCGCAAAAATGTCATCTGTTACTTATTATAGAACAATGCGATTTACAATATCGGAATTATCCGTTTTATTTTCGTCTCGATACATCTCGGACGAAGAAAAGTTTCCTGTTCTTTACATGATGGCGAGAATGTCATTGTGGCTTTGAAAAAAATTATAGCATGTGTTGTTGAATCGATTTTGTTGATCACGTTTGAAATCAATTAAATATAAATACGTTTCATTTTAAAAACACCACAAATTTTCAAAGGAAAATTTGATCATACCCCAAAAAACGAAATCGCGAGCCTCCTATCCACTTTAAATATATGTTAACTCATCATGCACACGTCCACTATGTATAATCTGAAAACCCATTCAGAGCCTCGTTGATCGACGAGCTTTTCATCCGTCCTGTGCAAGGACTGAGAACGCATTCCCACCAGGAATCAATCATCGGCCGGAAAATCAGCGCTTTCAGCGCACGAGCTCGCCCTTTAATTTACGAAATAGGAACTTTATAGATCGCGGTCTTCCTCGCAAAAGAGGATGAATGTAAAAGAATCGATATAAATTTATTTTGCAAAATCCTAATTTTCTAAATTAAAAATTAGATCGTTGAACTTCTTCTATTGTTTTCCATTTTCATTTCTCTCACTAAAAGAGATAAAGAATTTGAAATGAAAATAGACTTTTCATTTAAAATTACGTATGTTAAAAATTCTTATTTATACCATATTCGTGTGATTTAATTATATCGTATATCGATTGCCTAAGTATATCACAAGAATTGAAAATGATAAAAAGAAATTAAAAGATTTTAATCGATTTCGAAGATTAGATAATCATTATGAACAGAAAAAAATCTGTTTCGATTCGTTTAGATTCATCCGTCCCTTTCCTTACAGAATCATTAGATGAATTATAGTCTGGTGTGTCGCAGGCCGGCTTCGGTTGTTGTCTATAAATAGAAACTAATCAGTAATTATATGTGTAATCGTCACAAGTCCGATCGTCCATTTCTATGCACGACGGAGTGCTTGGAAGTGACTTTCATCGCTCGCATCATTTGTCAGTGTCTTCATATATAGCACATATCACAGCATACTTTTAACGAGCTTGCTCTTGCTAAAATAATAATACAATGTCGTCGTGCCTCGAAGTACGATAATCTACCGTACGTCATGCGAGAAGGAAAATATCGAAACGAAAAAGTCTTATCGAGAATCGGTCCTCTTATCGGTGTAATATATCAGTGCCTTGATAGAATTTTTGCGACGGTGCGTACGTTGCATGTTACGAAACGTTGCGAGAAGGTGTCGTTTAACGTTAAAGAAGCCTTGACGTAAAAAAGCTGTAAATAATGAAAAAATGAAAATCTTACAGGAAAAGCTAAACGATATTTTACTTGAAAAAAGGGAGAAACGGAAAAAATGTTCTTTATATCTAGTTTACATCTCGTAAATATGTATGTATATGTATAACATTTGCAGCTTTTAAAGCGTTATTATATATTTTTGATATATTGAGTTTTTCATAATTGAGAATAAAAGCTTCTGATAATGATTGATTTACAGCCTGTTTTTTCATATCAAGCTTTTAAAGCAAAATTTGAGTAAACGGTATTGCAACGAATTACTACGCAAGCATAAATTAAAGAACATCATTAAAAGGTCGAAAATATGGTAACAGTAGATATTTAAATACTTGAATCGCGCAAGAATGCTTGTGATCAAAATTAATCAATATTTAAGCAATCAAAATAGACACTCTAGAATGATATAAATTAACGCTGTATTTCGTTATTAATTACAATATCTAACTCTCTCTCTCTCTCTCTCTCTC